TCATCTTTCCCTTTGCCGATGATATACATCATGGTCGATTGGGACCATTGGAGATAGTTCTGCCCATTGAGTTTATGCCCAGTGATGGGAATGATGAAATGTTTGGAATTTCCATGAAAGGTAGAGACGACGTCCTCTGCAGGAGAGGTTACATCAGATGAGGAATCTTTTCCGGAGGCCATCTCAAATTTAGGGTTTCAGGGGTGGCTCTGATACCATACAGGAAAAGATGGTGAAATAACTTATTTATTAATCATAGAGAATGCTGAATATATACACATACAGGAAGAGAAATCACATGTTGATTTACATTCCTTAATTCTAGCCACTAATTTAGGAAACTAATATGTCTAACATATCTAACCAAATCACAGAAAAATAGGAAACTAAATATAGCTAAATATAATTACATGATCACTGGGATTAGCCCTACAAAATTAACTGTTTTAATTCTACATTATAATTCGCCGTGATTGAGCAGATATTAGCACTTAGCTCCCTTTTTTTTGTGACTGTACAAAGTATCTACTTTCCTAATTGAATACAAACTCTGTATAGCATACCTTCTGGTTCAAGTAGATTTAAATAATGACGATTGTGTTAAAATATTTTGTGATAGATTGCTAGTAATTTCTTAGTTAGACCTGCATGATAATTAATTTGCTAATAGATAGAAGACAGCATGAGCATAGGCAGAGCCACAATTTTGACCTTAGTCGCAAAATGTGGAAATAGCATGTAGCTGAGATGGAAGTTATTGGACTTCCTTCCTAATATTACCCTGCAGGCTGCAGTCAAGAATCCAAAAGTAGAAGGGTGGTGGTCATTTCTTAACACTCTCACTTTGTTTTAAGACAGGTAGAGTTAGAGTTACTTGGATTGAATTGAAGCTAAATTGGTGGGAAATTTGATTTTTCTTTCAGAATATTCTTGTTAAGGATTGCCATATATCCATGGTGCCACAAGTGCTATGATTTCTTTTAAAAGTTTTGAAGGCCATCAATTATGTTAATTGTACCGTTATCTCTATTTTTACTTGTAATAGAACACATATTTGCAGTTGAAAGCATTGGAATTTTCCTTTCCCCCCTAGAATTTTGTCATTAACATTTCATTGATCTATTACCAATTAGAGGTGAAGAATTTTATTAGACTGGCTGCCATACCGTGGACAAGATGAAAGGCATGCGAATGGAGAGAACCACTTAAGAGAGTTGGCTCTTTGCAAACTAGTCTGCACGGATTTAATCTGGTTCCATAATGACGAGTTCAGTTTAGGTGTGTGTGGCACTCGACTACTTTTTTTTCTCAGATTTGGAGATATCTATCTATGCACTGATTTTTATTTTTTGTGTGTATATTCCTATAATGGCAAATTTGTTGAATAATATACAAGCTTTTGACTTATCTAAAGCAGAGGGCTTCTAATTAACTTAATACATGCTAGTTGATTGATTAAACACCATTTATGCTGCATTTTGGATTGCAGCTTGTGTAATTGACGAAGACTTTCAGTACCTTATTTGGGGCTATCTGCAAACACAGAAACACAAAGGAGACATTCACTTTTGTCGTGTGTTGGATTTTTTTTCCAAAATAAGTACTTTTTTTGCCCTTTTTACACTTTTGGATGTTGTCTATCTAAAATTTGAGCAAGGGGCACTGCTTGGTCAAAACTGAGAAGGCAAACAGATAATTTTCTGAGTGCCTTTTGTCTCCTTAGTGTGGAGTGGCTGAAACTATTCATACTTGAATAGAAAATGTTTGATTCACCCCTTTTACACTGTGATCCTGTTCCTTATTTGGAGCCTTCTCTACGCTCTTCTGCCCCTAAATTGCAGGTCAATATATCCTTCAATTTTTATTTTTGTTTCTAGGGAATTACAGTAATATGTTGAAATATGCTGGATTAATTGGCTGAAATTTATGCACTTTGCTCATGGTTCTTTTATGCTTAAAGTCTATCTACATTACAAATTTCCTTTCAAAAAAAAATTAATAAATACCAATAAATATGGAAATGTACTCTTCCCTTTTTCATCAGACAGAGAGAAACCACCCGTCCTTTTTATCCAAATACACCAAAGATAATATTTTGTTTCAACCATCAATAAAAATTGCTTTAAAGTTCTTGGACTTTGCTTGGTGGTGGAAAGTGTGTCATAGCGATGCAATATAAAACATAAAGGCGTGCGGGCTCGACCCTAGGATTTTATTTATAATAATTTACTTTGAGCGATACACTTAAAATCACTATGAAACTCTAATTTATTTTTTAATATGTGAAACGGTTTTCCTCGTGTGACTATGGTTTGTGCCTCTAGTATCGATGTACAAAATTGACTCAAGTGACAAGGCTGGCATCAACAGGCACATAATTTAGCATGCATTCCCACCTTGGCATTGAAAATAAAAGCTCCAAAAGCTCGGAAGACACGAGGCTGAACACGCATCATTGTCCCAAGTCAATCTTTTTCTATATTCAAACAAACATTTGTTTCAAATTTGAACACTGTTGACTTGTTTATTACCTTTTATTTCTTTCACGAATTTATCGTTCTCTTTTAAGGCTTGGTTCGTTCGGTCTAAGATTCGAGATTTTCAATCTTCGAATCTTGTTTTTGGAACTTCAAATCATCACCCTTGCGTATTCATCTCCATAGACTAATCTGTAAAGATTTATTTACGTCGAACCAACTCACTAAAAAGTATTAAAGACATGACAAGTTTTATCTGAAAAGGTTGAAGGCAGTAAATCAAATTTTACAGCGTGAAGAGCATTGTAGGAGTCCTAAGGAATTCATTGAATTGAAACATCAGCAGGGCTGCGTTGAGCTAATTCTAATTGGGGTCAGACACTGAGTCGTAAATTTTGATAGGCGCAGTGTGTGTATGTGGGTGTGGACAAACAAAGCTCAGAGTGTAATCTTTTTCTTGGGACCCCAAAAGAATTCTGCTGACATTTCCCTAATCAAACTGCGCCGGAAAATGATTGCACTTTTGACCTTCTCTACCATTTTACTGTCAAAAATATTCCACACCAGCTAGCTATTCTCCATTCTCACTCCTTTTGTCTTACTTTTTCATTATTATGTCCACCAGATCTGATTTTCCTGCCTCCAATCGACGGGATAAAAACTTCTCAACGTTGATGTAGCAAGAGAACCATACGTACGATATTTCAAGTTACCATATAATATATTAATAATGAAAAGATTTTATCCTATCTATTTGGTGCAGGAAATCAATTTCATTATGTCCATTCTTTAATATTATTATTTTTAGTATTACTTATTGGATATATTATATCTTTAGCCACTATGATAAATTGATTTGCCTTTTAGCCTCTGTTTGGTAATCATTTTTCTACAAAAAATGCATTCTTTGTGTTAAATCACACATTTTTTGTGTTTCTTTCCAGCCATAGACCCCACTTGATGTGAAAGAAAAAATTTATTATTTGAAGAAAGAATGGCTCCCAAACAGAGCTTTATTAAAAAAAAAAGGTACATTTGGCATAAATGTTACTTGTATTTCATCCTTATTTAGCCCTCACTTTTTAAAATTCATTTTCAATCAAAAGTTTTTTGTGATGCATAAATTTTATCGACTTTTTAATCACATTTTCTTTTACTGAAACAGTGAAACCTACTAGAAATTTGATTTTTAGCAAAACCAAACTAGGGCTTAGTATTGAAATCAAATATATAGTTAGGTACTTGGGGTTAAAGTCTTGTAATAACATTTTTTGTAAGGATACTTCCTCGATTCCATTTTACTCAATGACTCGTAAGACCTTCGAGTCGCTCCTTGGAAGTTTACTGATCAACTTTATGTAGTCGGGTTTTACGTGGAGGCTAGGGAATGTAGGGATATGACAGCATAAAGAGGAAGAAAGGGAATTGGAAATACAACGTTAAAAGACGACCATGGTAAGGGTGGCGAAGGAATAGCAACTAGGTCAGAGGTTGAAGAAGAAAATGACTTGCTCGTGAAGGTGACAAACGTGTGTATAAAAATCAACTTACACGAACATTCTCTAACAATATATATTAAATGTGTTTTATGTACAATTTTGCTTTGTAATAGAGGGAAATCAACTGTAGCGATTATCGGTAGTCTATCGGTTTTCAATATATTTATTTTATTAATGTCGATGTAACCTTTTCAGTTTGTAAATTAATCTAAATAATTGTTACACTGATCGCACGTGGCAGACGTCAAACTTGGATTATTTTTCGACAATGAAAATGATACAAACGGTCTTATTATAAATAATAAAATACCAACTTTTCAATTTTAATATTTTCACACGAGATTAATAAGTGTGGAAAATGGAAACGCAATAAGAACCAAATGTTGACCATATCTTTCTCCTGATTTATCCTTTAATTATTATGAGCTTTAATATAATTTAAAGAAAATAAATTGGTGATTTACAGAGTAATTATTCATAAAAAGACAATATATTTTGATTATATCGTTAATTCCGCAAGTTTTCAGTTCGGACTTCATCCTTAAATTATTTCAGATTATCCTCTTTGATTTTTCCCATTAAAAAAAAAATAAAAATTGAAGAAGAAAAGAAAAAAGAAACACTGTTGCCTTCATAGCCCAGGATTAGTATAAAAGGACATGCAGCCCCATGAAATAATTTATACAAAGATAAACAATTTCGAAACATTTCACGTTTTCTACTCAGATGAAAATAACATTTTCCAATTGTCTGTAATAATAAATGATCTCATCCATCTGATTCCTTGTCTACCATCTGATCTTGCTGATCACATAGAATCCTCAGAAACTCAGAACAATATCCTAACCAGGTTCGATCATTATCTCTTTAAATGCTCCTTATATATCCGTATCTCTTTGCTTATTCTCTATTGATTACAGATACACATATATTTATTTATCTTTAGGTTTGAATGCTGTGTTTTGTGTATATACTTTTTCTTTGACTTCCTGGTAATTTTCTAGCTCTTAGAGTCATTGGAAAAATGTATTCTATTCCAAGTTTCTACGAAGTGGGGAACTGTTCAGATTTTCTTCAGACAGAAATGTCGAATCTTGAAAATCAAAACCTTAGTCCAAGATCCATGGCTGAAGCAAAAGCAGCTGCAGCAAACAATAGCCACAAAGAAGCCGAAAGGAGAAGAAGAAAGCGAATCAATGCCCATATTGCCACCCTCAAAACTATTCTTCCCAACACAATCAAAGTAAGAGGCGCCGGCCCAAGTCTTTTTTTTCCAAGATTTCAAATTTTAAATACATATTATTCTCAGACAATATAATGATGACCCAATAATATAACTGTTAATTTTGTTAATGTTTTGAATTTGTGACAGACAGACAAGGCTTCATTATTAGCAGAAGCAGTGAGGCGTGTGAGGGAGTTAAAGAAGACAACTGCAGAATTGGCAGCCATTGAAGAAGAAGACACAGATCATGACATCACCAACACAAAATCGAAATGCATTTTCCCAAGTGAGACAGATGAACTCAAAGTAAGTTACTGCGATGACAATTCGGGCCTGATAAAGGCGAGTATATGCTGTGAGGACAGGCCCGAAATCATACTGGAGCTAATCCAAGCCCTCAAATCAGTAAAAGGGAAGGTAATGAAGGCTGAAATGGCAACAGTTGGAGGGAGAATAAAAAGCATTTTGTGGGTACAAATTTTAGGGAGTGTTGGCAATGAAGATAGTTTGGGGACACTGAAGAAAGCTCTGAAAGTGGTCATGGACAAGTCCACTTTGTTGGCTGGTTCGGGCCAGGCTTTGCCGGGAAACAAACGACCCCGTTACTATCACTTCTGATATTTTATCTACTATAGTTTGGACTTTGGATAGGGACATTGAAAAGATGAGTAATTTATATGATGTTAGTGGAACATTAAGATAGGATAAAGACAAAAGCATGGAAAATATGTATTTTCTCTAATGTCCTTGTCTATGCTAAGAGATCAAGTTTCTTACATCGGTAAATAAGGTGAAATTAATAGGTATTGTGTTTGTTTATCTATGTTTACAGTGATTTCTATAAACAGAGTTAACCAATATTCCTTTGTTGAAAATCCACTTTTCGAATTTAATTTATTTTTGGGTGGATGAGAAGTACTAATGAATGAGAACAACAATTGGAAGGAGGAAATGACATTTTGAATTTTTTTTTTTTTTTTTTGGGTGTTAAATTTGAAGGAGATTTCTTTCCTTGGAGCATCAATATTTTAAATTTAGATATGGGTTTTATTGTCTTCTAATAAGGACCATTAATGAAATTAAATTTACAATATACGGATTAATTTAGCCCAACTTTATGGCGAGCTATATGTCTTGACAAAAAATAAATATGACATTGTTATGGCGTGATTTATATTCACAACATTGTCATGTTATTTAAGGTTCATAACACATTGTAATATAAGAAACTTAAAACCGAACCCAAAATTGGGAAAGTTCATAGTTTTTTCATAGCTTTTGTTAAACTTTCCAAAAGTGTTTTCACTGTTTTCACTGTATTCTCTTATCCTCAGTAGAGAGATCTAAGACTTATTTCAAGATCCACCAGCTCCATTAAAGACATGAAACTACCAATGGCAAGCCTCTCATATTCACCCAACACCTTATTTTATTGTCATTATGATGAATGTAACTGGCATGTTCCTCTACTTTAGTCATATAGTCTCCAAGTATCATACAACTTATACCAACTAGAATTTTTCTTTCACCTTATTCTTTCTTTACTTGCAATGTCTAAGATTAATTAAGATACTCAAGTCTTCCTTATCTATATTCTCCAATGGAGATCTCGAGAAAACTCCCACAATCAATCTTTCATTGTGTCCCTTGACTTGAAATGAATCTTTACTCGATGGCTCGTAAGACGACGCAATGTCCACTGGTTGAGTTGATCTTCATTTCAATCCCCAGACACACCCGTTGTGAGAATTCACAGAAGCACTTGTGGAATTCCAGAATTTTGCAGTCCATCCTTAATATTTCTGATTTTTTAAGGTGGTCCCTGAATTATCTAAATTCTGCACATTGGCACCTGTATTTTTGACAATCTACAAGTCCATGATATTTTTAGGTTCTATAAGTTAGTCGCTGAATTTTTAAGAATGTTTGTAGCAGATCCTACATTTTCTAAAGGATGCAAATATGTCAAAACTTTTTAGAATCTGCAATTAGTCACTGTTTTTACTGTTTGCGCTAGATTATCCTCTCCATTTACATTGTAGATAAATATGTTACATTTAAATAAAGGATGTAAATGATCGTTTGAATTCCTGCAAGTCCACGATATCTCGAACAAGTAATAAAGTGATGAGTAAGATATCGTTCTCATGAGAATCACGTACTTAATCTAATGTCAATTAATGTTAAACTTAATCGAATAGCAAATTTTGTACGAAGAAATTATACTATTAACTAATTAAACTTATTGTTCTAGTGAGCAAATTATGAAACTTTTGTAAATTTAGATTGGATGGTTACTAAGACCTCGATTATCCTTTATTACTCCGTTTCGACGCAATTCAATAATATGACAGTATGTGCACAGTCTTATTGATCAATATTCCTAAGTTCATTAAAAGCATCTCTTGATGTCAATTAAATTTATAATTTCATGTGACATTTCTAGATCTTTATGAAAAGTACGAATATGAAAGCATGCATTAAAAAAATCTAGAACATCTATAGAAATCATGCAAAGTAGTTATAACGTATTATTTATCACATTTTCTCTCCCCGAGAACAATAAAATTCACACAACAATTCAATTAGTAGCTAAAATTAACTGGAAAAAATTAAGTTTTATAACAATCATCCGAGCATAAATACATATTAGACGTCAAATTATAGAATTTATAATTAAAACTTCATAATAAGGATTCATCAATATCTTAATAATTAAAATCCTAACTTAACATTACAAAATTGCAAGAAAACATGTTCAATTGGAAGAATATAACCTAGATTTTAAATTGACGAAGGAGACACAAATTGATCTTGATATCTTGAATCTCTTCATGGTTCTTACTGAATATCCAATATATTTTCTTGTTGTATCTCCAAAAATCAAGGTTGAAAAACTCTAATTTCTTGAAAACTTGTAATTGCCCTTTAATTTTCACAAGAACAATGGGCTGACTTCGCTTTGTTGATGATAATATATAAATTATGGTGTATGAGAGGTATCTCTAATGTCTTGTACACGTTCAATATTTATAGGCTCGAAAATAGGTTGAAAATTACGACAAATTCCATTAAAACAAGAATTCTATTTAAATAGGATAATTGTTGCAGAGTCCCCCGAAATTAAGCATCGAGTGCGTCGATATAATTACCGCATGCTCGCCATGAAGCCACTTTGCTCTCGTGTAAATTAGTCGCAATCTGGCGCGGGTGCACTGACTTCAGTCCATCGTGCGTGGTCTGCAACTATGGTAGACGTGCGATTTGGTCTCCAATTTCAATTCTTGAGTCTTTTAAATCATTTTCTCATGCAATTTTGATTCTTTAACTTTTAATTGCATCCAATTGAACCCGAAAAATTCTCACTTTTCATTTTGTGGTCTGAATCAACTATTAAAAAGTTATAATAAGGTCTCCAAACTTTGGATTTCACCTTTTTTGCTTCTTTCTTCCAATTTAGCTTCCGATAATTGAGTTTTATCTAATAAACGAAATATACAATAAATTAGACTATAATTAATCAAAAGAACTATTAAATATCTATATATTCGACTCGAATAAATGTGCAAAATATACTTATCAGTAACAATGTTGCAAGATTATGGACTCGCAAAACTAAAGTGATAATCAAGTCATCAGAAGGTCATTTCCCGAGAAAGTAAGATAAAATGACCATTATTACAAATATTATCCCAAACAAATCTATATCTAATTTTAATTTACTCTTATGCGTGGACGTTTCCAGCCTCATCTGGAATACATGCAAAACTCTCAACTCCTCCAATGGTGGTGTACAATTTGTGTAAATTGATATCTTCAAAAAATCTCTTTTCAAAAAATCTCTTTTGTGTCCTCATTTACAATAGTGGATCTAAATTCAATTTTTTCTCCAATTGGAAGATCTACTCAACCTTTTGCCTCTTGTAGATGTAAAAAAAGTTGTATTAAATCTTTTTAAAGATTTTCTATCGAAAAATGTAATTTTGCATTTCCTTTGCATCTCTCCATTGAAGAGATTTTCGACCACTTTGAAAATCTAAACTTAGATTTATTTTACGCCATGATTGTGATGCTCTTAAGGAGACAAAAAACGGAGTATGTGACTATACCATAAGCTGCTCAAAAAACATAAGGCTTTTAGCAAAATTGTTGATGGAGTCTTTTTGAGTATGCCAGTGGTGGTGGAAATTTCGTTGACGTTGTTGATTGTGTTGCTGTCAATCACATTGAGTGAAATCAACATCTATCGATAATTCGAACGGAATTACACATACGAATATTGTCAATGATCAGTAATGCAATTTCATAGACGATTTTCGATGGTAATATTATCAGTAATGATGATGGCAATCATTGATGTTGATTGACAGCATATAAACAACGATAAGCTATTGATATTACCAACATATTTTTAATCATTCTATGTTTTTGGAAGTCGTCAATAGATAAGTTAAATATAATTATATTATTTCTCTAATATTATTGATAGGAAATTTATTTTCAACTATTACTTTATTTTGATGGAATTTAAGTTAGTATTTAATAATTTATTATCATTATTATTTTATTTATTAACGTAATTACATCGATAAATTAGATTTAGATTAACAAATCTAGTTTATTAATCTGNTAAATATAATAATAATAAATTATTAAATACTAACTTAAAATTATATATTTCTTTTTTTTAAAAAAGAAATATATAATTTCTTAAAATCTTTATAAATTTAATTTTGTTGTTTAGGTAAATAAAATGACCATAAGTCCCTACAAATCAAGAACAAGAACTGCCAAGTCAAACAAATGGTGAATACTAATAAGGGAAAATTGCAGCAGTAACCCCTAACCTTTCACTTTTTTGCAAACTTTATCATAACCTTCAATTTGTGCCAACGAAAGTCCCTAACTTTTCAAAAATATACAGCAGAGGTCTAAATTGATGGTTTTCATCCTTTGATTGTTAGTTGACCAAGAAAAAGAATTTTGACCAAATTAAAAAGGGTAAAATTGTAACTTGATAATTAACATATTAAATGAATGAACCAAAAAAATAAAATAAAAATCAAGAAAAAAAAAGGGTTGTCTCCTTCATCCACCCCGACCATGATTATCAACTTTCTTCTAATTAGAATCATCAACTAGTAAGAGGGCCAAGGTTTTCCCTCATTATTATCAGCTTTCTTCTTTTTAGAAAAATTGCTTTTCTGGTGTTGGAGGTGTGTGGGCGACGTCGGTAGTGAAGGCGATGGGGGGTGTGTGAGCAAACACGATCACCGTCTCTGACCACCACCCACCTCCCTCCAATCATCACTACCACCAACAGCCGCTATAAGCTACCACCATCATGCCAATAATCGCTATTAATCCCTCCACAACAAACATCATACATTTTTTGCCGTCAAATATCACCACAATTTATATTTGAAAGTAGAGAATTAAAATAACGAAGAAAGTTCAGATTTGGGAAGAAAGTCCATAACCAATAACATCGTCACACTTCTTCGTGCCATGAACATCACCACAATTTCAATCTGAAAAATAAATAAATCAGTCTGAATAAAAAATGGAGAATTATAGACTTAGGGATGAAGTTACCTAGTTCATACATGAAATTACAG